TGTGGTGAAGACTGCAAGAACCAGAATATATAATCCAATATTTTTCATCGGCAGGTTTTAACGTTTCTAGTTAATTTGGGTATTTTGAAACTGTTTCTCCATAGTTCATCAAAAATGTTTTATTTAATAATGATTAGAGCTGCTCTCTGTTCCTTCTACATAACAATCAATTCTACCTGCTTTATTTAACCTCTGGAGTTTAACTCCTTCATCATTTTTATTCTTCATAAGCAGAATGTCTGCAGAAGCCATGCAGCTTGCAGGTAGAGTCTGTCTCCCCCAAAAAATTTGATCTTTTTCACTCCAGGTTCGAACTTTCCGAAGCCCGGACGCCAAAACGCATTGATGCAGCTCTCTTGACGATGGAACGCGCTGCTGGAACTCTTGAGGCCGCCCCCCATAGACTATACATGTAAATGAGACGCAATGACGCACAGAGTGAACTGTTGGGTGGGGATGATGCCAGCGGCAGCGTTCACCCATAACCTGCTGGTGGAGACGATGTGAGCAAACCAGAAGTTTCACAGCAGGAAACAATCAGTCTGGTGTCAGTTTGGGACTCATGGCTAAACAGACAAAACAACCCACATTTTCCCACCATCATCTGCAGCCAAATGAATCAAACAATGATAACATAATATTATTTTGTCATTTATATTATTCTACATATCTGCCTTTAGTTCAGTTCCTGGGATCTCTTCTCTCCTTGAAACATTACTGGAAGCAGTTAGCTCCTCCTCTTCTAGAGTCCTCCCCTCCTGGTTCTGTTTGGGTCGGTTATCCAGTATGGTCTCCTCGTTGGGCTTCTGGCCTCCCTCCACCTGTGTCACCTTGCAGTCTCTAATGTCCTCCATCTCCATCATGTCATCCTTGTCTTGGCTGAGGTATGGTCTAGTCTCTGGTCCGCGGCTTCCTCTGCTCTGAGTCTCAGATTCAGCAGCTAAAGTCTCTTCCTGTCTTCTGACAGCTGGACTCTTTTCAGAGCCCTCCCCTTCCTGGTACACTGAGGAGACACTGTCTTTATCCACAGTGGTCGTTACAGAGAACTGCCTCTTGCCGTCAGGACTGGCTTTAATCATGGTCACACTACTGATCCTCCCCCCTTTGGGGGAGGATGGGGACAATGGACTGGAGGGCGATAGAGGCAAATCTCTCAGTCTGTCTTTAAAACTCTGCTCAGAAGAAGAGGCTGGACCTCCTGGTGAAAGTGGAGACAGTTTAGGTGTTTTTAGGATTCCAGCCCTCTGTGTTTCCGTCTGTTCTTCTGTCTGTCTATCTACTTTCTGTCCATTTATAGAGAATGGACCAGGAAGGAGGCCTTCTTGGTTCGTAGATCTTACAGAAATCAAGCCAGATGAAGCTGAAGTTGGAGAAGAACACGGGGCTAGTGGTGCTAATGCTACGCTAATGTTTGGTAAGCTACTTTTGGGGCTTGGTGACTCTATGAGGGATGAGGTAGGCGTCTTTAAAGAGGACACTGAGGAAAAGGTTTTGTTTTGGAGAGAAGATGCAGGAGAAGAACCTAAGCTTATTAAAGCAAGGCCACCACCAACGGTTGGCTCCGGATCTGGGCTGGAACATGGGTCAGAGGAGGCTCTGACAGCCATAAAGTCCCTTTTGAAGTTGGACTTAGCAGTGGGCATGACTGAGCTGGATCCTGGAACCGGTGCAGGTATTGTGTCAATAGGGGTTGAAGTCTGTAGCGGTCCAGGATCTACCTTACTGTCCATATTCACAGATCTTTCGGTGGGGATGGGGAGGGAGGTAGGAGCTGAGGCTCCTGTGTTTGTCTTGTCTTGAAGGTCAGAGTTCAGCCCGAGGGTGGGGCCTTCCTGGGGAACAGAATCAGACTTGGAGGATGGTTTCAGAATGGAAGTTATAACTTCCCCCTGAGCGATATTCATCTTGGCGCCGGGTTTAGTGCCGCGCTCTGGATTGGCTGGTTCCTCTAGTACTACAGGTGGCCGCTGAACAGCAAATCTAACCCCCCGAGGATCTGCCCCCGCCCTCTCTTTAACTCTCAAACCTAAAGGATCACTGCCCCGCCTTAATCCAAAAAGGGTCATACTTTTCTTTCTCTTCCCCACATTCGCCGCTACGCCATGGACTCCATCTGAAGCTGGCTGGACTTCTTTGAACATATTTTTCAGATTGAACCCGTCCTCCTTTATGTCGTCGCTATCTTGGGACTGGTCCAACTGCTCCCCCGAGGCAGCCAGTGGGTTTGGACGCCCCTGAAACTTCTTATCCGAATGTGTCACCCGGAATCTGAGGAGATAATTGTAGAGTTAAAAACGCTTGACATCAAAACTCCTGATGCTGATCTTAATAGAAGATTCAATTCTGCACTTTTACCTCCCGACAGAAAAAACAGTCTGCTCTCCTGGTTGCTGCTTGAAGCGGGGCGTCCTGCTTTGTCTGCGGCCCTTTTTGGCTCGAACCTGGGCGCAGAGGAGGCAGGAGTTGTGGTCGGTGCCTGAGTGCACCGTATGGAGATGGGGAGGAACACCACCAAGAGATTCCTTACGTAACCTGGAAGATCGTAGTGTCAGGTGTTAGTATTAGCATTAGGCCAGTTATATTGGTGAGGTGAAGAGTTTGGCTTAAAATGCTTCACACAAATGAAGTTGCTGAAGGACAGAAAAGGCAAACACCAATAAATCCAAAGGTCAAAGTTCAGATGTTCCTTGAATGCTTGTAGCTCCTCCACTCCGGGATGTTTGGAAGAAGCTTTGTTCTGATTCACATCTTGGCCAGGATAGCCTCGTAAAAGAGGTTTGAACATATCCTCTGATTTAATTCTTAATAAGCTAAATTGATTTTAAAAAAAAAGGATTTAAAGTAACCCCCCTTTGATTTAGCTATTTTTTTGTGGTCAGCGGAAGCAGACGAATTGTTAATCTATAGATTGATCCTTTGTTAAATTGGAAAGGCTTCTGTAGAACTGGAGGAACATGCAGTTCAATTCTTCCAGCTGATTGGGTAAATCACCAAGTTTCACCTGCCTCCATGTTGAGCCAATCACAGCAGCAGTATCAGCTGGATTTGATTTAGGGATTTAACTGATAAACCAAACTCTTTTAAACCAAATCCAGTTGGGAGGAACATGCAAACATCTCCTTATCCATCGCAGCAAAAGTTACGTCTTTTGCTCATTTGTCTAAAGGAAATGGAGGCTATTCCAGCTAAAACCACAGCAGCTGTTGTGGGAAAATGTATTGATCTCTGCAGCCCATTAAAATAAAGGGAAATCAATGGATTTCACTCAGTCAGCATTTTATTTTTTTTGCAAAGACAAAGAGAAGAAGACAGAGCATAATGTTCTCCCTGTTCTAAACAGACAGTTTGTCTCTCACTAATTAAACCCCTACAGGACGGCTGTGAAGGTCTCCGCTGATCTTTACCCAAACAAAGACACACAGCTTGGAAATAAAACATAATGTTATGAAATAATCCCTGAGAAACAGTCCAGCTTGTTATGAGAATTATTTAATTTATCCCTAATAAGATAAAAAACAACAACCTTGTAGCCTTGCAGATCTGAGGCCTAATTGAATGAAACTTTTGAAATTTGAATGAAATTTTCAGAGATTTTTTTTTTTTTTTCCACCACAGCAGCCATGTTTGTTTTGCTTCAGCCGCTTCTGGTTGACATCAAACACGTCGCTGCATTTCATTGGTGCATCGAGGTCAATGCATTTGTTGGCCCTTGAATACTTTAAAAAACTCTCGACTATTAATGTTGCTTTCAAGGTCAACGATGAGTAAGAAGGCTGATCAAACATCATGTGTTCATCCAGCTGCTACCTTAAGCCGGAGCGACTCTGTCAGCTCTAGTCTGCTTTAGAGACCGTTCAATGTGTCGTGGTTCTCCCCTTTTTTGGACTTTGAGTTTTTAGTTTTTACTGTTTCGTTGATCTTTGGTTAATTTTCCATTTTGTGTTATATTTAAGCAGCCTTTAGTTACTCTCTGCTGCCCCCTTGTGTCTGTCTCCTTTCCCCTAGCTCCCTTCTAGACTCTTCTATCCACACCTGCTCCCTGTCAGCTGATCAGCCCAGTCTTTGTTCTGTCTCCCATATATACTCCTCCTGTGCGGTTCTTCAGTGCTGCTTCCTTGTTGATTGCTGTTGCTTCCTCGTCTGTGGTTCTCCACAGGAGTTTTCCCTGAAGTTTACAGATTTTTTTTATTCATTGGATTTGGGATTTTTGGATGTCTGCCCGTTTTTTCATTACACCAACAACAAATCATCTCTGCATTTGGGTCCTCAAGCGACTGCAGCCCCCTAGTTGACGGGGGGTCATTATATCTTATAACTGAAGATAAAATGAACATTTATTATGTATCAGAAACGTCTCTACGGCTCCTCTTTTTATCTGTCATCACATCCTGATCGTGTAGAAAACGCTTTAGGGTCTGAGGCAGGGAGCGATGGAGGGACAGGAGCTGATCTGCAGGTCTGACAGAGAACAGCGAGCTGCCAGAGACACTCTGAGCTGCTATAGAGGAGGAGAGACTGGGACCCTGATCCACCTGAGATTATGGAGAAGGATCCAGCTTTCAAGCATTTTACTAGCTGTCTCTGTTGTAGTAAAATAAGAACATTGTGAACTAAAATTATGATAAACCATTGCTTTTCATTTATATTTAAATTAACTATTAATTTTCAACTTTATCAGGTTTTTATGTTGCAAAGTTTTTTTCTCTGAAGAACCAGTTCTACACCAAGTCAGTCTACAGGAATCCACTTTAGACCAAAAACTAGGGCATAAAAATCATCTCTCTGACTCCTTCCTAACTAATCCATCCTCTAGACCTGCTCCTATAGTCTCTCTATTATAGATGAGTAATGTAACTAAAGTAATCCCTCCCTGGGATTATTAAAGTATTTCTGATTCCTGGTTGATGGGACAGGTGTTGTGAATGAAACGGTGCCCAGCTTGAAAGAGCTCCTGTGTGTCGCTGAATGTGAGCATTGATGACTGAAAGACATCTTCTGCCTCCATTTATCTGTTTACTGCAGTCTGTTGAATTCATGTTAATGTGGATTTAAAGACATTTCAATTAGTGGAAAAAAGTGCTGGAGGAATATAAAAGTCTGATCAACCAAAACTTTCGCGACCCCCATGCAGTACCTCTGTGGAACCCCTAGGGGTCGCGGACCCCCTGTTGAAGACTTCTGCTCTAATCCTTAAGCTGCTCTGCACTCTGAACCGTCTCCTCTGGGAGGCGACAGTGATTTAACCATGACATTCAAGCTGCGGAACGTTTCAGAACAAATTGAAGATAGAATGAAGATAAATGTTTGCAGCTGGTGGGATCACACACTGAGCTACAGAAGCCTGAGGAGGACATTCCATCAACTAAATCCTAATGATTGTATCAGTAAAGTTTCCAGTAGAAATTAACTCCTTCCTGCATTTCATCTGGAAGCAGGGATTATTTATTTATCCATAAAAAAAAAATCAAACATCTTGTTATAAATCCATAATTAATATTATAAAACCATAATTCATATGAAACGCTGAAGTGTTTGGTTTAAACTGGTGTTTCTGTGATTGTCTTCATCTTAGTTTTCACCTAAGCTCAGAGTTTCCCTGTATTTGCAGATCACAGATTATGGCTGAATGCTGACTGGACATCTCTGCTAGAAGCTGGATCCAGTGGATGGGCTTACCTTGGATCATGGCGCACGCAGACGCTGCGGTTTCCTAACATCTCATTGAAGGCCTCCATGTTGGCTGGAAGGGAAGAAGAACCTCAGTCACTGATGGCCTTGCCTCCTTTACTTGTCTCCTAGTCTGCAGCCATATGAAGCCTAACCATCAGGAGCAGTTATCAAACGTTGCTTACCTTCATTCTCCATGATGCATTTCAGGATCTGCTCCACTGTGTCCTGGTTCTCATCGTTCTCATCTAAACAGAGAAACCAGACACGAGGAAATAAACACCTCAATGTTTGACAACAACTGATGGAGTCATTCCAGAGCTTCTCTCCTTTCCGTCTGTGAGCGCACGCCTGTTTACATGTGAGCAGCTGTGGATGGCAGCGAAGCGCGTTTGTGTTTATCTCAGGAGGTTTAGTGACCCGTGAAAAGATGGAAAATCTGGATTTAGTGGAAATGAGAAAGGAGCCGGTCGGCCACTCCCTGTGTGTTTGGTCAGAGCACGGTGGGAAACAGCCTGTACTTGTTGGTGCTGCTGGTAGAAAAGCCCCAAATGTATTAAAACTCCTGCAGACCTGGGAAGCCCAGATTAATAATAGATAATCTCACACAGGCCCACAGCATCACTTCCAGTCTCCAGCTGGCAGCTGCAGACCCATTCCTGGTGGTTCCCTGTGACACAGTGTCCTAGTTAAAGTCCTAGTAGGAGTTGGCCAGCAGCACGCAGGTGCATCAGCGATGAGATGACTCGTCTGTAGAGCTGGCGGGAAGGATTGTTGGCCTGAGCGATGGCCTGATCTAACAGATGAAAACTGATCTTTTCTTAATGCGGCTGAAGCTTAAAGCCGACCATTTCTAAATAAGCATGTAAATCAACCTTAAAAGCCAAATAATGAACTGGTTCAACAAACGAATCAGTTATGGCCTCTTCTTACAGAACATGACATCATAAGACACTCATACAGTATTGCACTGTAAAAATCCGATCTAAGAAATTATTTAAATCTTTACATTTGCTCCTAATCTGAACAGAAAACTAAATGATCTGCAAAGGAAGGAAGGTTCTGGACCTTAAAACAGAATTAAATGAAACATAAGCCATCTTATTCCATCTGCAAACGGTCAAATAAATAAATCATATTTAACATTCTGCATTGTTAGTGCAGGGCCCTAACAGAGACCAGGACCGATTCTAGAGCACCGGTTCTGGCCCCCATCTAGAGCCACCCATGGATAAACACTATAATGCAATATTAACAGTTATATATATGTTGTCCAACCCTGCTTATAAAACAAGGAAACATCCAAATATCACCAAACACCGATCATGTTCTTCTCACCATCAGCATCTTCCTCCAGCTTGTCCTCCTCGTCCTCCGGGTCTACAGTCCTGCAGCGGTAGCCCTTCTTCTTCAGCAGATGGCAGATGAGGAAGCCCAGGAGTCCAGTTAGGAAGAAGAGGAAGACCACCAGGAAAATGATGTAGGAGGAGGGGGGCTCCCCCCCAGCCTCAGAGGCTTCCAGCTGCGTCATGATGAGGCTGAAACACACAGGTTAGGCTGGTTAGCACTGCAGCTAAATGCTATGTTCACACCAGGAGAAGAAGCTTCTGCTGCTTCATCTCTGATCCTCATTAAGGTCAGACGTCCAGTAAAGTGTGTCCAGATGCTTCTGCTGCTCCTGTGTTCAACGCCAGAGAGCAGCTTTGCTATATTAGCTGTGATCAGCGGGTAAAAAGTAGTTAGAATCTATGTTGAAGTGAGAAAGTCCACCTGAAAACATGGTCTGTGCAGTCAGTTCATCCAGATTACCATCCTGGGAGCCGCTCAGACCCCCACATACCAGCGCTGCGCTGTCACTGGGAATCCCCAGCAGCAGTTGCCACACAATGGCAGCCCACTGCTCCCCATGGGGATAGGTTAAATTTCTCCAGTGTGAGATCAATAACGGTAAAATATTGCCGGCAGGTTTCTACATTCTAAGTTAATTTAGGCGTTAATAAACTGTTTCAGAGGAGTGATCATAGCGCTCTGCATAAGCAGTGCTGTGTCTGACTCCCTGCCAGCTCAGCTCCTGAATAATAATAACCCCACAGCATCACCCCCCCTCCACCTAACGTTACATTGGGCTCAATAAAGTCTGACAAGAACCGTTCCCCTGGCAACCACCAAACCCAGACTGTGTCCCAAACCAGGGACACAGCTGTTCTTTAGGGAGGTTAGTTGGACAAGTTTCACCTGTTGTTCCAGTGTGCTGGAGGCGAACGTCTTCAAATATAACCTTTAAGGTAAATAAAATGAGGTTAAAACACAGCTTAACCTGGGATGTCCTCTTCATCTACTTTAGATATATTTCAGAAACTTGAAACCTGCTGTAATGTCTGGATGTTTTAGGTCTGTGACGGCTGATGTTTAAAGTTTGCATGGAGTAATCTGTAAGTCAAACTGAAGCAGAATGTCAGTCAGCCCAGCTGTGAAGTGAGATACGTGGACTGAACAGGGTAAAGCTCTGATGTTAGAACTGGGATTATAAGCAGTAATAACTAAGTTAAAAGTTGCATTTTACAGAGAACACCTGTTCTGGTCCCCAAACCTCCAAACCTGAAGCCTGATCTTCAGAAGGTTTGCGTGTTTTTACCACCGCCGGGTCACATCAGGCCATCCCATAGAAAACGACCATCAGCTCCCCTGTAAACCAGCTTACCTCCACAAACGCCATGACCAATAATCTGCCACCAAATAAGAACTCATAATTTTCCTTCTCTCGTTGTTTTCATTCTCTGACGTTCCTATAAACGTTCTGCCCTGGAATAAACGGATCCTTTTATCCTTAACGCTCCACTGAAAACCAGGATCCAGTTAGATTTCCTGTCAAATAAAATCACGGGTCTCAATAATCCACAAAAGTTATTTTCATTGGAAAAGAAAAATGTAAGGATGGAAACTACCACTGATTTTTGCCGCCATCTTTGATTATCTATGTTTACCTGGGCTAATTCACCATCCTGTCTGCTTCCAAAACCACGCTGAGTTCTCTGCAATATCCAGAAAACTTTCCAGTTAAAGTTTTTAGGCTCTAGTTGCCTTTATTTAGTTTTATTTTTTTAGAAGACAGGCAGGAAAATTGATCAGAGAGCGTGGAGGTCAAGCAGCAAAGGTCAACAGGAAGGGAATCCAACCTGCGTGGACTAAAGCCGTTGTAGAGGGGTCGGGTTTAAACCCTGCACCACCGCCGTGCCTCAGTATCCAGAACACGTGTGCCTTAAAATCCCAAACCCGTCCCTGAACGCTACCCCTCAGCACTAACCCGGCGTTCCCATAAGGCTTCGCCAACGGAAGTCCTCATAGAGAGTAGGGTGGGCGCGAGCTTAGGGGGCGGACTGGGGTTGGGCTTCTGTAGCTGGAAAGGTTGACTGATGCATTTTTTTAGCCAATAAGGGGAGCTTTTCCATTAAGTACTGGTAAGCCAAAGTCTGAAATCTGAACATTGAAATCACCATAAAAGAAAGTGCTGGAATGTTAAAATTAATATTTATGGTTTATCATGTAAAGCACTGGTAATTTAATTTATGGTAATTTGGCTTTGTTGGTATACTTATGTATAAGATACATAATGTTTGTTCTTATGATGTTTAATGTGTGACATATTACTGTTCCAGAGAGGTGTTGCACAAGCAGTATAGGTCAATTCTCAGGAAGTATTGCTCAAGCTTAAAAAAACCAGGAGGTTCTCGGACCACTTGACCGCATGACATTTAAATGCAAGTTGACCTGTTCACTGAGGCTGCAAATTAAATTGTATTTCTTGTTTCCTATTCCTTTAGCGCAACCTCAGCTTGTGTAACTAGGGACTCCCCCTCTGACTTTAATAAATAGCAAGGAGAAAGCTGAAGACCGGCAGAGTGGGGTGGAGATGTACCTGCACGGTCTCTTCCTACTCTCCTGGCGAGTAAAAAGAATTCTGACTCTGTGCCTTTCTTTCCTTGTTTTCCAGTGTTTTAGGTGTTAGACGTGACAGGCTTTTATGTTTTTTTTCTTTTTATTAAACTTTATAAACTGTTTTTAACCTCCTACTGTAGCACTTTGATACTTTATTTGAAATGTAAAGTGCATCATAAATAAATGTATTATGCTTATAAAGCTGGAAATGTGTTTTTATTGTCTAATTAGTCATAAAATCCAAATAATCCAGTTTGATACCTAATTTGAATTAATTGTGCTGAAAGGACCTTTTCTGTACTAAAAGGATCAGAGTTTTACACCCCTAATGAGCCAAGGTCTGAAATTTCATAAAGTTGATGACCACAACATGAACAAGTGGAGACAGTTGGAGAGGTCAGCTATGAAAAACACATGAGATAGGGGATGTTAACACATGCATTTTATACGCAAAGGGAAAGATTATTTTAAACGTTTTTGAAGCTACAAAGTAAGACTTACAGAGTTTGTTCAAACAGAAACTAGAAGATCTTAGCCTTCTAATGAGATGCATCACAAGCATGATGGATTTCTATTATTATCTAACTGGCCAATGGCGTTTGGATCTGCGGTTTGTTCTAAAAAGATAAGAGCTAAGGGGTTAAAATAGGTGGAGAGCTTCAAAGGTGTGTTTGCAATTCAGCTGACAGAGTAAAAACTGCTTCACGCAGATCATATATCTGCAGTCACTGTTTCCACTAAGGAGGCATTGCTTTGATGAATGACGATGGGGGGAGATTCAGAGCACATGGGACGTCAGAAATAAGACTAGCAGAATAAAAGCAAATAAAGAAGAAAAACGTTTTCAGACCAAAATGATGCGGAAAAGCCACCGATGATGAAACCAAAGGAAGAGAAAAGATTCCTGAACTGAAATGTAGTGGCGTGGCGTGTTTATGACGGTCCGTCTGTCTGCTAGTTATCTGTTCAGTTCTTAAGAAATGGTGGCAATCTGCTGCTGCTGGAGATAAATCCAGATGTTTTCAGCAGCATCTGCTCTTAGCAGACAAAAATAACTAATATTTCACTTTAACTTTAGTTTTTTCATCATTGCATTTTTCTTCATATGTTTGTAAATTGGCTCCCTTTTCAGGTGCATTATAAATATAATTTAGATTTATTATTACTATTATGTTTTCATTCATTTTTATTACTACCTTCTAGTACATGGCTTAGAACCTCTTCTTTCTTTTATGGCCGCTCTCTACTGCCTGAAGAAAACACAATCTGCTCATCTTAATGGGCTGAAACTAACAGCTTTGCTCATCTTACTGCAAATTAAACACGCTTCATCTTCTGCACAAACTAAAATAAATTCATGTGCCTTTAATTCGGAATCTTTGAAGATCAGGCCCGTGGTGGAATTTCTAAAATTCAACATGTTTACATGTGTAACTGGCCTCCAAAGGAACCTTAAACCCTCCTTCACACTCTGCTGTCTCTTTCTGATTTATCTCGTTATTTGAAACAAGCTAAAGTTACATAGATGTTGATTTCAAAGAAATCCTCTCAGTGAAAACTGTACCGGTAATTTATAGAAACCTGTCCTCTATTTCCTCCTATGAAACAGGTCTGAATGTTAAACAGAAAGGAAAGTAATATCAGGTAAAACATTTGGAGAAAAACATAGATAACAGGGAGGAGTAAAGATGTTTCTGTTGAACAGAAACTCATTGTAAACTGTAAAAGGGGGGCACGCACCCAGAGGGAGTCTGGGAGCCACTGGGAGCCTCTGGGTATCTGAACATTAGCAACGTCAGGAAATGTTAACAGGCTTTAAAGCGTTCGCAGTCAGATTCTCCTTTCTCCATCAGAAAAGTAGAACTCAATTTCTTCTCATGTTTCTGCATAAGCAAACAAATAGATCCTTCTTACCGATTTTACAATCTTCTTACAGTAGCCAATAGTGATGGTCAGACAGGCCAAGAAGACAACAGCAGAACATCCAGGGAGGTTTGGTCCATGCTGAAGGCTTAAGGAGCCAGAAATGTAACAGTGAGCCCAGCAGCAGAGGGTCCCCTCAGCCCCACCTTTCCTCTCTATCTCCACTCATAGAGGCACAAGGTCAGCGGGACGGAGGAAAACAGAGAATGAAAGCAGCTATTGGAAAACCTGCCGTCTAAACATGAAGAGAATTAAGATTGAACCGAAGCCCAGTTCTACTTCCTGTTGCAGTGCAACTAAACATGTAGAGAGAAGCAGCCTGCATGAACTTATCGTTGTTGTCCTGCAGG